AAAATACAACATTTATTATCAAAACATTCTGATAGTATTTAGAAATGTTATTTACTTTAAAAAATTGTTTTTCATCTGTTTGTTTGTATATATATATAAACAAACACTTATTGATAGACATATACTTTTGATTCAACCAAGTATCTATTCAAAGTACAAAAGGGATTCATCGGATTTCATTCTTGTCTGTTTACTAAAGGAATAGAAGATCTAAATCATATCATGTTCTTGACATGCTACAGAGATGATTAAAAATTGAAATTTGTTTTGTGTTTTTAGTAATAAAAATAAAATGAAGAATTTTTTTTGGGTAACTACAGTTTTGATTACCAAATCTATTAATGCAAATAAGTAATTTATTGATCCATACGATAAAGTTAAATTGTAAAAATGATCTCATCTAATCAAAAGGATTCCAATTAGCTGAGAACACGTATAAAAAAATGCCTAATCATAACTATACACAATATAAAAGAATGCCCAGTAAAGAACGGACGTCGTCCCCCTCACGGCTCAATCATATCATATCGTTTATATTCAGTGAATAAAGAAAATATTCTTCATGGTTTTTTAAATTGAAATTATGGTGCTGGACGAGAATCTGTAGTCTGCACTTATAAAATCTAAAAATCTACATGAACACGAACAAAATAAACCTAATCAAACAACACATTTACTATTGCCAATACGTAAATGCACATCTAATCATATGAAGGGCGGATTATCACAAGTTTAAGGGGGAACCCCCCCTCAGAAAGTCGATTTTTCTTAAAAAACTCGATTTTTGAAAAAACACATATTCTAGTAGCCCTGAGTGTCCTCTTTCAGAATATGTATAAATTATATAAGAATGGAACATATTTTGCCAAATTCTGGGGCGTCTATTGGAAGTCATAGTGGAAAATCGACTGTTGTGTTGATTTTTTTTCCTTAGTTACCGGTAATTAATATCGTTCCATCTTCTTTATCAGAAGTATAAAACCATCGACGTATCAAGTAATCATGTTCTACCTGTTGCAGTCAGAGAAGGAAGCTTCAAAATTAGGTTATTTTTCGAAAAGGTGGCGCTACAGTAAACTTGGATTTAGAAATTAGCTTAATTTTTTCTTGAAAGCATCATCAACTGCAAGACCTTTTTACACACTTTCCAATGATATATAATATGCTCCAATTTTCTACACAGGAACATCATCAACTACTTCGCAATGTTGTTATTCGTTTTTCTCAGCTTCACTTTTTTATCGTTTACTGATCCCTGCGGAACATTTTCCCAGTCCACTGTTTGACGTACGCTGCTGATATTTTTTTTATTCAAAAGATGAGACTTTTTTCTAGAAATTGTGGGAACAGATTTCTAAAATATATCTCCGTTGTTCAGATATTAGAAAATCTTTGAAAGAGATCAAAGCAGTTTTTTCGATTTTCGATTTAAAATGATCACTACTATTGAACAAAGATGAATTTCAAAAAACTGTCCCTACAATTTCTAGATAAAAGATTTTTCTTCATTTTGAAACAAATTTCAACATTTTCCATGCTATCGCGCCTCGGGAAAATGTTCCGTGCCAAAAGCCCCATTTTCATGAGTAAATTGAGTATAGCTCCTCAATTATCAAAAATGATTGGTTCAAATTTTTATCAGATGCTAGTTACATTAGCTTTTCTATTTCCTGAAATTTTCATCGAAATCTCTTGAACCGTTTAAAAGATAGGTTTCTGAGGGGGGGTTCCCCCTTAAACTAAATCTTCATTGTCTACATATTATCCACTAACTTCAATTAATAAAGTTAAACTATGTAAAATAATGGTCTCTGAATGACGAAAAGATAGATCAGAAATATTGTTGGTTTATAATCTACGAAACGGCACAGTTAAAAAAATAAGGTTAGTTTATTGCTATGAGGTTACCGTTTTATTACCGTTCATCGACAGCGGAAACGGAACGTAAATGATATCCGTTTTGATCGATCTGGACGCTGTAATCAGGAGAAAACAATAAAAAAAATTGTACTCTAATTTTGTTCGTTTCTATAAAGTTGATGATATAAATAATTTAAATATCTTTATTTTTACATCCAAACAACTGTTTCAATAAGTTGGATTAACAACACATTTACAAATTGATACAACTTATAAACTCACATGGAACAATTTACCTCTACTTGTCTTTGGCCCAGTCGATGTTAATTGTCATTTTAAGCCGTTTAGTATTGTATTGATTTCTCATGATGAAAACGTCAAATCTTACATTGAATTCTTTAATTCAAGGCATCTTGTTTAATAAGTCAAGTGATGGGGATGCTGCACCAATTAAGTTTTAGCTTTAACTATATACTGTTCTAGGATCTCTTATATTATTTAGGGTGTGGGTGTGGATGTGGTGGGTGTGGGTGTGGGTGTGGCCGGGTGTGGGTGTGTGTGGGTGTGGGTGTGGGTGTGTGGGTGTGGGT